TTTATTTTGTCCTATGTGATCCAGACTTAACTGTGGACATTTAGCTGTTGCATTTGATTGAGAATGAAGGGCTGTGCTTCATGGATAGCTGTAAATTCATAGGCAGTTGGAGGAGTGTCAGTTTCCAAGAAGGCTGGCACCGAGGGAATGCTTGGACTTTGTTGATGGTAGTCAGTGGCTCTAGAGCTGAGAAGGGAGAGCTCTTACTCAGACCGAGCCTTTGCTTGAACTACATCCTACTTTGGCCTCGTGAACTCTGTGTTCCCCTGAGATATAAATCAACGCTTCGGTTCTCTACCAGCCATGAGACACAAGAGAATTACTTCAGAACAAGAAGAGTCCATGCCAACGCCTTGCTATGGATTATTCAGATACTGACAGTGATTCCACTTTGGGATACAGCGATGATGAAGATTCCAGTGATGAAGTTCAAAGAATATCAGAGTCAGTGCACAGAAAACTGTTATTTGAAATTATTTTTGGATATTTTTCATGCTCTATGATTTCATTGAAAGCAATTTCTAACTCTTCCAAAAATGCTTAAAAAGAGAACAGTACTAAACTGCATAGCTTTGACAGTAATTAATCACTAATCAATAGCAACTTTGTAAACTATCTGTTAATCTGCCAAAAAGTAGCTACTTCTGCAATAGTACATGTTTATTAATTGTCATGCTAAAATCAACTAATACTGGTACAGAAATGCATGAATATGAAACTTTATTTTTAAAGAAGATGCACATGTTAAGCCTGGACTCTTATATAGATGCGTGTACATTTATTTGCTATAAAGAAGTGTGCTGAGTGTTCAAAGGCAATATGTGTATGGTGAAAGTTTTTAATTAAGTATATTGTACATATAACTCTAGTTATAAAATTCTCTCATGGCCAATGTTTTCTTTTTTCTTCAAAAGCTCATTATATTCATCTATTAGAAATTGTCAAATACCTTAATCTACCAAAAACTTAAATGGAAAGAAACCTCAGTTTTTAAAAATAACACCATCTCCCTTTTTCTCCTCTTTTCCCATGTCTAAATCTTTATAACATGAAACCCTGCTAACTTAGGTTTGTTAACACAGAAGTTCTGTGAGAAACCAGAACAGCTATGTGTGAACAGAGATAAGTTTTATAACAACATGGAGCTATTAAGACCTCTGCATTATATGAGTATGCAATATTTTATATCTGAATCCAAATGATATTTGCTTTTAACATGCTCCTTTGACCTATAAAGGAAATAAGCATACACAGTAAGTCACAGTATTGTCTGCTTCTGTGAGTAATATTTTCTCATTATAAATTTCTACTGTCTCTCATAAAATAAGGGATTTATTTATGTCAATACTAGGTAAGATATTATATGGTACTTTACAGGAGCAGCTCTCTGAGTACTCAGGACTGACATTTTAGACAACTGCATAGACTGTCATAGTGGCATTAAGTACCTTAATAGACAACGACAATGTAATGGCCACATGAGTTAGGCATTGAATGAACTTGGCCTTGAATAATTTGTATTTTTTATGTAGCATTATTATAAAGCAACATAACAGGGCTAGGACATAGCTATGGAGAGAAATTCTAAAAGTTTGGGAATCAAAATGCTTTACTGAATTAGCTTTGCAATTGGGCACTCATAAACATACTAATGCTGTTTTATTAACAATTACATATATTTTTATAATGATGGACAGAGACATTATGACTACTTACTATTCAGAAGTTATTTTGCATTAAAATTAAGTCAGAACTGTTGTGTAAATAAATTGGACAGCAGTGTATCAACAGTGGACTGTTTTGGAAAGAACATGGACTTTGGAGCCAGCCAGATCTTTTTTCAAATTCCAGGGCTACAACTCATTTGCTATGTCTGACTTTGGGTGTGTTACCTAACCTTTATACCCCTGTGTAAATCTTGGATAAAATATCCACCTCTGTTAGATGCATTAAATGAGGTTTGTGTGAGATTTCATCTAGATCCTGATATATACTAGATGCTCATTAATTAACAAATATTACAATCTCTTGTTTAATATGTTGTTTTCCTACATTATATATCTCTTCTGTTTTGGTATATGTCACTTTACAAGGTACTAAACCTGATTGTAGGCTATCACTTACAGATTTTCTTTCTTAAAATAAAATATTTTCAATTTCTGTTGACTGTGTCACTCTTCTGATCTTTGATTTTTCCCCATCTACACTTAAAAATATCTATGTACTTATTGTTGCAAGAAAACTACATTCATTTTTTAAATATATCCAATTTATGCCAGATAATATGAAATTTTAAAATATTGAAAATTTGTAATGAAATCATTTTTTTAAATTTATATGTAAGGAAATATTATAAAAAAGAAGCATTATCTTGTATATTTCAAAATTGCTAAGATAGAAGTATGTTTTAGGGAAAGTGAGATTTAATATGATGCTCTCTATAAAGCTATGATGTTCTCTATAAAGCTATGATGTGGTTGTTGTTTTGTGTGTGTGTGTGTTTAACAATGGAAGCAATTTGTAATAATTTATACTTTATTGAGCAACCTCCTTAGAAATAAGCCATTCATACAATTTATAGAAGACCTGATGGGCATTACTGACATTTTCTACTTATGTCCACTTCATCAAAAATTCCCACTCAGAAAGTGATAGTGGAGTTGAAAATATGTTGTCTACTTCTATGGAACAAAAAGAAAATCCACACCTCGTTCTTGGGTAGGAATGTTTCATAAAACACATCGCCCTATAAGGACAGACATGACAGCACGGGTGACGAGAGCTAGAATAATAAACAACAGAGCACATTGCTCTCTATGTGCCAGGCATTGTGATAAACAAATCTTTGATCATCTCATTTAATATGACACAGTGAGTAGGCATTCTTACTCTCCCCATTTTTACAGAAGAGAAAGCTGAGCCTTTCACACAGCTTGTAGCTTGTCTTGTAAAACCACTACAGTGGGATTCCAGAGCCTGTTGTAGTGGGCCTGGGACTGTGGTGCCTGTGCCATCCTGTACCACACACTTCCTAAGCACCTCCTGTGTGTCAGCCATTTTGGGTAAAATGGAGAGCAAAACTAGCCGTGGAACCTGCCCTCATGTGGTTTAGTAGGAGGAACATACTGTCATTAAACCAATAAATGTGTAATTGCAGTGATAGGTGGTTGGGCAAAGAGGTATGTAGGGCCATGAGAATGAAAAAACAGTGAACATGGTCTCATTAATTCACTTGGTTCTCCTGAGGAAGGGGCACATAGGCTGAGATCTAAAGGATAAGAGGGGTGAACTAGCCAAGGAGTTGGAGGCAAGATTCCTAGGCTTAGGGAAGGCACGCTAAAGGAGGTGAGGTATTCAGGAATGGAAAGGAGGACAGTTTGTCTGGAAGGTGGAGAATGTGAAGGAGGCCTGGGAGGAGGATGCTGGGAGTTGTGGAGATGATCATGAAAATTTTGGAATCACAAGAGAACTTAGTATGGTAGGTGGGTTAAAAATTACAATAATCAATACCTTTTTTGTTTCCTAAGTAATGACCAGTGAGAAACAGAAATGGGAAAGGATGCCACTCATGAGAAACTAATGATATAAAACACCTAAGAATTCTGTTTTTGAAATGTCAGCTCCAAGTGGAAAAGATAAAGAAATATTATTTAAAGACAGAAAACTAGATCTGCACAAGTGGAGAGTCAGGCCATATGTTCTTGTATGGAAATTATTAGAATCATGATCATTTTTTTCTGAAATCAATGTATAAATGTAATACAACTCTAGCAGAGTCCCAGAGTGGGTTTCTTTAGGAGAGGGAATTTACTTTAAAGTCTATATAAAATGTGAATGTTTAAGAATCATCAAGATATTTTTGAAAAAGAATTTCAGTAAGGGGAAACTTGCTTTACCAAATTCTAAATACAAAATAGTTACTGTAAAGCAACAATGATCTTAATAGCATGATGTATTAACAATGAAAGAAAAAAGATCAGTGGACAAAATAGAGTTCAGAATTATATGTGAGAACTTGGTTTATTTAAAAAAATGAAAATATCTTTATTTTTAAGACTTACTTCTCTATCCTGTAGAGACATATGATGTTTTAAGTATGCTTTTTGGAATGTGTTAACACTATATTATTTCCTATGTACATATCACTGTAACGTATTTCAAACTCATATTCATCATTAATAATATTAACTTAGAAATGTTACCTTTATAGGAAACAGAGTAAGTTTTCAAGTATAACTTACGTTTTTATGTCAGTGGTACCAATAAATTTTCAGTAGCATCTAAATGACACGTGAATGCTAATTTACCAAATCCACCTTTGATCACTGGATCAGACAGAAATATCAGGGCAGGTTTTTTAAAGGTTTAAGAGGTTGACAGATATCCCTGCAGTGACAAATTACAAGCTTCTGAAGAGACAGTATATACAGATTTTGGTCACTGTGATTAAGATTTGTCAAATACTCTTGATGAACCATAAGCTCTGTACTAGAAGTTGCCAAAAACTGAGCCACATAGAAGCAGGGTCTCTAAAGTAAGGAAATAATTGAAGCAGATCAATTGTTCTCAAGGTTAGAATGATAAATTCACGCACACTATGAATTAGATCCTCAGTCTCCAGAAATATTCCTTCAGATCCTTTTAAAAATTTCATCTGCCCATGTTTATTACTGTCTCTATCATTGACCAATTAATTTGGCAATTCCCCAGAGAGCAGAGGGAATGATAATATAAAATTCTGTTGCATTTCTGTGAGTGAAACTTTACGTTTGAAGATTATAACTGCTGAATTATAACTGTAAAATGTGGGTGCTGCATGACAAGAACAAGGTGGTTCCTCAGAACAAAGAAATTTGAGAGACGAACAAAGCTTAGACCTGGAAGTGGATCAATCATAAGAGTATACATAATTTACTAGGTTCCCTGAATGAATCACAAGGAACACTTTTGTTTGATAATAAAGGTTAGTTTACTTCAATGTCTCTCTCTTTTTTATACAGGGAGGATGTGAGAACAGCAAACGTAATTGCTGCAGAAGCAGTGACCTGCCTTGTGATCGACAGAGAGTAAGTGCATTCTTTGTTATGCATATTGCACACTCATATCAGTGGCATACATGAGTTCCTGGGGTTAGACATCATTTTATGGAGCTATTAATATTTGTTTCATATATTTTCATTTTAAAATGACTTCTATAGTTGATTGTCATTTCCTATTATTCTTGAAAGTAGCTAACTCTGCCATTCTAGCTTTGTGGTCTTCACCAAGGTACTTAAGCACTGTGAGCTTTGCCTCAGCTCATTTATAAACTGGGGATAATGCAACATGATAGCCATATTGTGAGGATTAATGGGAACACGCAAGGAAAGCCATGTGTCCAAATGTGTTTTAGTCAGGAGGCACTCAAGCGATGCCTGATATTTGTGTAAATTTTTAGAAGAAGGATAATAACTATAATGATAATATATTAATCATAGTCAAATGTTATATTATTATTATCAGGAAATGGACTATTCCTTGAGCATATTTTAGTTATCTCGTCTTTTCTTCCATCTCCAGACTCCTATAAGAGAAGCATTTTAGGAAGACAGTTTTGAAGAAAACATCTTCTAGCCATAGGCATATATTTAGGACCCTTAAAAGTTTGTTCCATGATACCTAGCCCTGTTCCTTCCCTCCATTCTGGCTTGCTGTTCTCATGACCTGAATGCTTTGTTGGTTAAACTGCAGATGTCAGATTGCTGACTCTCCAAGAGCATGGTTAAAATGCATGTGCGCTCTCTGGGAGCGCCCACTAAGTTTTTCCTCATTGCAGTGTGTATCAGAAAAGCCAAGTGCCGGGCCCAAGGAGAAGTACTGTAAACCATCCATTTCAGTGGAGCTGGACTAGGCTGTGAGCATCAGGATGAAAGGAAAGTGAGGGGGCAGCTGTGATCAGCTCAGAATGCTGGAGTTGAGGTTGAGTTCGGGGGGGTCTGAGTAATGAGAGATCCCACCTGATTCATAAATCTCACATTAGGAAGCCCCTCTGAGTTGGATCTCTAGAACCAGAGCAGTGGCACAGGTGCTGAATGATAGTTGTATCCATAAATATTTCAGAAGTGGATACGCTTTGTCTAGTTCCCAGAAACAACAATTACCCATCCATTCATTCTTTCATTCAGCCAACATTTTACTGAGGATCTACCATACACAAGGCATTGTGAGGGACCATGAGAGGAATCAAAGGAGCAGCACAAATCCTACTTCTGAGGAGAAGCAGGGAAGTCTTCAGGAAAGAATGGTATCATTAGGCGGATCTGGAAATATAGGTGTGGCGATATAAATAAAGTGAGCAGCATAAGCAATGCTTACAAGGGGACTATGAGCTATTTAAATTATCAAGAATGAGGCTGTGTAAAGGTAGTTGGATGAGATGTTGTGACAAATAAGTTCATAGACATACTGGGGCTGGTTCATCAAGAACATTGAGTATTGGGATGAGACTAACTCTGACAATTTAAAGCAAAATAATGCCATTCTAACACTATTTGGCAGGCTAAACTGAGAATGCTGCATAAGATAAATAGAGGGAGAGACTAAGGGCAGAATATTTGGTGAGAAGTCTATCAATCCAAGTGACGATCATAAGCTATTTTGAAGAAGAGGAAAGTGTAGCCATAGAAGTTTAATAACTTGATAGGTTTCATGGTAAATGATAAATCACAGATCAACCTAATCACAAGGAATCAAATTGGATGTGATTTTGTGGGTCATCTAGTCTAGCTCCTTCATTTTCATTAACTGAGGGCCTGAGAGATGCAGGAGTGCCAAGTAGCATCACACACATACTTTTGCCTCATCGTAATTTTCTCTTTTCTCAAACCTAGTCATATATGGAGAGTGCACAGTGGAGAGTACACAGGCTTTGGCAAATAAAGCCCAATTTTTGAATCCTGACTGCACCATTTTATGACAATAGGGGCAAGTTACTTAAACTCTGTCTCAGTTTTCCCATCTGGAAAAAGTAAGATAATATTACCTAAATTATAAAATTGTTTTGAAGATCAATTTATCATATGTAAAGTTCCATAGGCAGCACAAGATGGGTAGTAAGCACTCAAAAAATGCTTACTTCCACTTCTTACAAAAGGCATAGACATGTATTGATTTAAAGGTTTTCTCTATAATCAGCGGAAGTTTGTCTTACGGGTCTATATAGAGAGGACACCTTGAGTGAGATCTAGCTTAAACATAAATACAGAGAAGACAGCTTGGGTCTAGGACTCAAGAAATGCATTTCTGTACTCTTAGGAGAGAGTGTGGGCTTCCCACCAAGTATTGGATTTACAGCTTAATAAAGAAATCAAACTGTAACTGAAGGATCCTGTCAAAAGCCTGGGGCTGGTACCTAATTTATGGCCAATTAGGGGGGCACCAGGGCTTCATCCCGTGCAAACAGATGGCAGAACTGTCAACAAGAGCAAATTTACAAGTGGGGTACCAGGTTAAATAAGCACATGCCTTATCATTCCGGAGGGAGAGTAAAAGAATTAATTAGTTGTAACTAATCATGCGTGTCAGAAACTGTTTTCCATACTCACAAACTAGAAAATGATAAACAGATACATGCTTTCCTCAAATAGCATTCTCTGAGAATTGGTTTCTTGCAACCTAATCATTATCTTAGTAATTATCTGCAGTGATTCCAAAATTCATGAAAGAATATTTAAAAGGAATATTATTCTAACAAAACAAAATAGACCCAGAGACATGGAAACATGTGACAGACTGAGGATTCTCAGAGGGAAGGGGGAGGGGGTTAGAAAAGGTCATCATAAGCAATGCTCACAAGGGAACTAGGAGCTATTCAAACTGAGGCTGTGTAAAGGTAGTTGGAGGACTTATATGCATTTATGCATAACCCATGGACACAATAGTGGGGAGAAGGCCTGGGGAGAGAACAGGATTGGGGTGGAGGGGATCAATGGGGAAAGAAAGAGGGACAGCTGTAATACTTTTGACGATAAAGATACATTTAAAAAAGACAACCTCTTGAAATAAAAACATTCTGAAGTGAAAAAACAAGAATATTAGTCTAAAGGAACAATCTATTTCTATTAATACATGTTTTTGAATATATATAAACAACTAGGTGTCTTTAGCACCTCTTGATTCAGAATCCATGAAAAGAAATAAGTATAAGAGGGAAAGAAAGAGGGACAGCTGTAATACTTTTGACGATAAAGATACATTTAAAAAAGAAAACCTCTTGAAATAAAAACATTCTGAAGTGAAAAAACAAGAATATTAGTCTAAAGGAACAATCTATTTCTATCGATCTCTCTCATCGATGTTTCTAACTCTCTATCCCTCTCCCTTCTTCTCTGTAAAAAATCAATAAAATAGAAATAAGTATAAGAGTAAGGGGCATTGTTGTGTTTCATACTGTTATGGAATATTTACTTCTTCTTTGGCATGGAAAGGTGTTGATTAGCTAGATGTTCAGTAAGATAAATTATTTTTGACATTGAGATCATTGTTAAAAACAGTAATGTAAGTACTAGTGAATAATAGAAGTTATATATTTCTCCCTACGAATTTAAGTTCTAAGTTAGACTTGAAGCTCTGTTGCAGACTTACTGTGTAACCTTCAAGATATAGGCACACAGATTATGAGAACTGAATTATTTTTATGCTGGTTGATATGTAGTTGTTTGAACTCCATTCGTGTGCTTTCCACCTGCTGCCCTGGTTATCTGATTCCCACACCCAGGAATACCCAGATCTCCTTGATCCAACCACTAAAAGGTGGCATCTGACAGATACCAGGACCAGTTTCCATTCTTACTGGTCAGAACCTATGCCCTACTGGCTGTTAATTATTTTGACTATCAACCCAGTAATGTCAATGACATTTTATCACCATTGATTTCAAACTTTTATTTTACCAAATCTATTGTTTACATAAAATTAATTAGAAAGTACACAGAAACTTCTCTGGCTCCATGGGGATAAGCTCTTTAGCGAGCCCAAGGGTCTTCCTATTCTCCTAACCCTAACCGCCCCCCGCCCCCGCCCCACGTCCTTCCAGGTGGTTCCTAGGAGTTGGTAAGATAATTTACAAACCACATATAGCTTACCCTCTCATTGATGTCACATGATATTTAGTCACACGTTAGAGCCAGTTGTGACACTGATACCAAGAACTGGCCTAGAGGAAGTGCAGTGTGCTTGGCATAAAAATGATGAGATTAGGTGCGAATGTCAAGTGTCAGATTACAGGACATTACAAATAGCCAATTCCATTGACTTTTGATAACCTGTTTGCTGCTCTATTTTTTATGGGTCTTGGGACCAGCAATAGACATACGAGTTGCCTTCTAATCATTAGCCTAGTGGCAAAAATCTTGCTACTTCTATTATTTTTAGAATCGTGTTATTTTAAAAAATTTATGGCATGAAAATGACTGTTACACATGAGGCAACTATAGCTCGAGGAGGTTAAAAATTTGAGCCACACTCACTTAGGCTTCCCTGATCTATAGAGATACTTCAACTTCTAAAATGGCTACTTGTATTAAAACTGGAATCAAAATGTCAGAAGAGATGGAAACATGGAGAAAATAGTATGTATCCAATTTCTCTCAGTGAGAGTGCTATAGGTGTTTCTGCTAAGCAACTTGATGAGGGGTGGGGTGAGGCTCATCGAGGCACAGGGTCAAGGAAGATAAATGATCACTAACTTGCCCATGAAACATAGTGGGTTGTATTTAGTGCAGTTTTCCTTCCCAAGGAGGGTATGCAAATGTGAAGCCATAGCTGCAGGACTTAAACCAGGGGTAAGGGAATGTTTTTTCTAGAAAGGGTCAGATAGTAAATATTTTATGCTTTGTGGGTGAAATGATCTTTGTTGCACCTCCTCAACTCTGCTGTTGTAGAGCAAAAGCAACCAAAGACATTCCATAACTAAGTGACATTGGTTGCGTTCATAAAGCTTTGTTGATAGACATTGAGATTTAAATTTCATATTATTTTCATGTGTCAAGAAGTTTTATTCATCTTCTAAGATTTTTTTTCACCATTT